CAGGCAGTGAAAGACAAATACCATATGATCTCACCTTTAACAGGAACCTAAACAACAAAACAAAGAAACAAGCAAAATATAACCGAAGACACTGAAATAGGGGACAGACTGACAGTGACCAGAGGGGAGAGAAGAGGGAATTTCAGGGGGGAGTGGGAAGGGTTTACAGGAACAAATATAAAGGATACATGGACAAAAGCTAGGGGGAGGGTGGTAATGGGAGGGAAGTGGGGAGGGTTGGGTGGGTGAGCTGGAATGGGAGTAAAAGGGAGAAAACTGTACTTGAACAATGATTAAAATAAAATTAAAAAAAAATATTAAAGCTTGAACAGAGGCAGGATCTAAGGTATATACTTAAAAAAAAAATCCCACTGGCACCCCAAATAAATAGATTTAAAGTAAATGAAGAGAATGATCTAAACATATGTGTGTGTATATATATATATAACTCTATATTACATATAATCTATATATATAATTACATAATACATTTTTATACATTATATATTAGGTCTCTCTTTTGTTTTATTTTTGAAAAAATTTTAGGTCAATTAAAATATTTTTCAATTACAGCTGACACAAAATATTACATCAGTTTCAGGTGTACAACATAGTGATTACATGTTTATGTAATTTACAAGGCGATCACCCCCTAAGTCTAATACCCATCTGACACTATGTATTGTAATGCATAATTATTTCAATATCATTGACTACACTTCCAATGCTGTACTTTACATTCCTGTGACTGTTTTAATAACTGGCAATTTTTACTTCTTAATCCCTTCACCATTTTTACCCTATTATAAATGCTTTACATAATTGTGAGTATACACACGGTTTCAGGCTCATAATATGATCATCAAAAAATGTAGATCAGCATGCCAGATATTCTATGTAAAGGGACATTTATTTCCAGCATGATGGAGTGAGAAGGTCAACGCATCCTCTCCACAAACAGTAACTATAAAGCTGGACAACAGGATCAAGAAAACCCCAACAAACATCTCAGGACTCTGGAAATCAACCAAATGCGTACAACAACGTGAGAACCATTTGTACTTGAAAACATTGAACACTGGGTAGAAACAGAGCAAGGCTATGGATTCTTGCCCAAGAAAGCCCCCATTGTGCCCCTTAGCCTCCCCACCAACTCTATTGTTCAGCCAGGGAGTTCAGCCAGGGTGGGGCACTGCCAGAGAGAGTTCACCTGACTGGGAGCATTGTCAGCCGAAATGGCTATCTTGGCAGCATGTGAGCAGGGAGGGCCAGTAGCTCCCATTTTCCAGTATTTGCAGTGCTGTTTGAGCAACTAACTGGTTAGACCAGCCTGGGATTTGATAGGTAATTCCAGGAGGTTAGAGTCATAGGAGAGGGCTACACAATAAACTCTTTGCTTATCCCAAACTGACCAGGGCTATGTGTATGTCTAGCAGAGTCTAGAATGGGCCTAAGCTACCCACACACCTCTGGATGATGGAGCCTGTAAGCATGTGCAGAGGAGACACAGAAAGCCCAGTGGAATGCAAAAGCCAAGGAAGACTTGAAGAAGACTAGAAATTTGAATGTTTGCCAACCCCCATACACATTCATCAGCAGAGAGCCTTACTGGCTCAAGCTGTTAAAGTACAATTTCTAAGCAATCTTAGGCTGAAAACTAAGCTATTCAGTCACAGGGGTGAACCCAAGTAAGTGAGTCTTAAAAATAAAAACAAGGCCCTGGCTGGTGTGGCTCACTTGGTTGGAGTGTTGTCCCGTAAACTGAAGTGTTACAGGTTTGATTCCCATTCAGGGTACATGCCTAGGCTGTGGGTTCAGTCCTTGTTAGGGGTGTGTGCAAGAGACAGGTAAATCAATGTTTCTCTCTCACATCAATGTTTCTCTCCCTCTCCTTCTCCCTCCCTTCTCCTCTCTGTAAAATCAATAAGCATGTCCTTGGGTCAGGATAAAAACAAAAAAAAAGAAAAAGAAAAAGAAAAGAAAATGAGAATTACATTTAGATATTAAACTAAATGTAACAATAGTCATTTTAAATGTGAATGGTCTAAATACAGCAATTAAAAGGCAGAGGCTGTCAGAGTAGATAATAAAACAAATGTTTAATATATGTTGTCTACAAGAAACACATCTTAAATACAAAGAAAAAGATAGACTAAATGTAAAAAGATAAAGATATACCACACTAACACTAATCAAAAGGAAGCTACAGTTGCTATATTAATTTCAGACAAAGCAATCTTCACAGCAAGGAAATTAACAGGAATAAAGAGAAACATTATGTAATAATGAGGTCAATTCTCCAAGAAGACGTAACAATCCTAATAACAGAGTGTCAAAACACTCACAGAATTTCAAGGAGAAGTAGATGAATCTACTGTTGCATTTGGAGACTTCAAAACCCTGATCTCAGTAAGTAACTGAAAAATACCATACCAGCTGGATATAATTGACATTTATAGAATACTCTATCTAACATTCTTCTCAAAAGATGTCAATAAAAAATAAAGACAAGCCACAGAAAGAGATAAAGGATTTGCATCCAGAAAATATAAAGAACTCCTACAACTAACTCAATATGACAAACCACCCAACTTAAAAATGGGCAAAAGACTTAAATAGACATCTCTCCAAAGAAGACATAAATAACTAACATGCACACTAATCATTAGGAACATGCAAATTAAAACCATGAGATGCTCTTGTATATCCACTTGACTGGCTATAATCAGAAGGACTGACAATGCTAATGTTGGCAACTGTGTGGAGAAACAAGCAACCTCATACATTGCTTGTGCAATGTAAAATGGTAGAGCACTCTGGGAAACAATTGACAGTTTCTCACACTTACCATAAAACTCAGAATTCCACTCCAAGGAATACATCCAAGAGAAATGAAAAGACATATCCACACAAAGAATGTTCATAGAAGCATTATTCATAATAGCCAAAAACTAGAAAACCAAATGTCTATCAACTGGTGCATCAATCAATAATCAAATATTCTATAATTTAATTTATAAGAAATGTCCTAGAAAAGGTAAATTTATAGAGAAATAAATCAGAGTAGTGACTGTCTAATGTGAAGGTAGGAGCAAAGAGCAAACAAATTCTTTGAAATGATAGAAATATTATAAAATGATAGTAGTAATGCCTGCCCAACTTTAAAATTTTACTAAAAAAAATCATTACATCTTTTATCTACAGTAGGTAAATTCTGGTGTATGTAAATTGTATCATAATTAATTCATTTTAAAGGTGGGGATGGACAATCCTGGGCCCCACCCCAGACCTCTGAATCAGAGTTGCTGGACATAAAGCTTAAGAATATTCATTTTAACAAGTTCACTGAGTGATTCTCCTGTATAGGGATCGGGCTTCAGATAACCTTACCAGGCATCAATCATGTGCTAGATCAGGATGCAATTAATTTAAATAATAAAATTCAGGTGAGAAAAGTAGGAATTTGTTTAAGCCAGAGGGTTTCAAAACTGATGATGAGGGAAAACTCTTCTGAGAGGCATTAAGTGGTCAAGTGAGTAAGTATAATGATGCCCAGGGCACAGCAAAAATTGGTTTAATTGCTAAAATCAATCAGATTTCTTTCCTTTTTTTCCTAATTTCCATGTATTTAAATATGAATTGTCATTAGAAATATTAGCAATCTGGGAGGTGCAAAGTTTTCAAGTTTATTTGATCATTAAACATTTTTTGCCCTCTAACTACCAGAACTTTTATTCCATAGAAAGCCATCTTAGGCCACGAAAGATGCCAAACTGGACCTTATTTTAATAATATACTGTAGCTTGAGAGAAAACACACAACATTCGATTCTTATCCAGTGCAAGATTTTAGAATTTGAGTGGAAGAATGCCATTTCCTTTTGCTTACAGATAGAAATTGATAGAGGAATAATATCCTGGGAATAGTAATCACCTAATCTATTTCAACCTTTCTTCTGGCTGAGGACCTATTTCATAAAGTTAAATTTTAACTCAGAAGAACATAACAGATTAAAAAAGTAGGGGCAGACATTTATGTTTAAGGAAAAGGTAGGGTGGGAACCCAAAGCCCCTATTTGTTCCTACTCCCCAGGGACTTCCTCACCCCAATTTGGGGGTCTCTGAAGAATCTCTGATTCCTGGGAATGCACTGTGAAATTCATGAAGCTTGCTTTCCATATAAATGTGAAGGCTTAAGTATTTGACCTGTGTACAGAATTTAGAGATACATGGAAATGTAATTGTTTGGCCATTAAGACTATTTTCTGAAAGGGACATGACCTATAAATCCTGGCACTTGTGGTGGCTGAACTGTAGGGGGTTCTCTGAAAACCAGTGGCCAAGCAGGGGTGACTTAGGGGCTTAGAACAGGAGGGAGAATGTTGGCTTTAGGAAAACCAATCAGTTAGGAAGGAGTCAGAGGATATCTGTGTAGACAGATCAGAAAGAACTAGAAATAGTATGCCAGAAAGAGTTCTATGCAGATCTTTTTAAACTGTAAATATATCTATTCCTGAAACTTTATCCCTGGATGGAAAATAAAATTGTACACAGACTCGTCAATCTATGATACCTTACTTGCTCGAAAATAAATGCAAGTTGCAGGAAAAGCCATTGCTTTAGGGGTGTGTCCTATGAAGACAAAGGTCATCTCTTGACTCTCCCTGGTTAACTCAAGAGTTTAAAAAATATGAGACAAAGGTCCTTGTGTGAGAAGCATTTTCATCAGTTTGTCCAGCACATTGTTGTCTTGAGGCTTTATAGTGTTAATACTTTATGTGTATATGTATCCTTTTTACTGTCTCTTCTGAACCAATGTCCAGGTAAACAGTTCAGTTAGAACACAGATTCTTTTTCTTTCAAATTCTCTGTCCTAAAAAGTGCTATCCACCACTGCATGAAAGAGATCCAGGAATAGGGCCCTAAGGTATATTGCATGACTCATGCAAGACACAGCTGGCCAAAGGCAGGACAAAGCCCGACACAGGAAGTAATACTCACCTGTCCACAATGATGCCATGAGGTATGAGGACATATTCCAAATCTCCATAATAGTGCTGTGGGTATGTGAATAAATTCAAGTCATACCCTGGCCAATCATCCATTATCTGCAAATCAAAATATTTTGGTTATGGTATTTTTCATTGGTAATTTATTTTTAAAACATAAATATTAAAAAGCAGCATTTGAAAAACAGTAACACTGAAAAGAGAGTGGGTCCTATGATCAATATGGTATTAAATTATATTCTGCCAACCTATGAAAAGCTCAGTAGGACAACCTATGAAAAGCTCAGCAGGCTGTTTCATTCAGCCTGATAAAGGACCTAGTACTGGAACTGAACAGAGTATATACTCCATTCTGAACCCTTGGTATCAGACAGTAAAAATATATACTCAGTGTCTTATACCTAACCTGATAGTATTGTTTGAAAAACCATATATATATATATATATATATATATATATATATATAAAATCTATACTTAAATTATGTTACCATGAGTATGAGTTTACGTAACATTATATTTATAATTATATTAATACCTATACTATATCACATATTACTACATTATTATCTATACTATTACATTTCTAAGCATTGTATATGCCTCATGTGCCTGGAAAAGATTACCTATTGAAATTACATGTTTCCAGGGATTAGTGTAGCCCCACACTTCTATGTCATCTAGTCCTTCTACTCAAGACTTCTATAGGATGTGCTATGGTAGAAACTGAAGTTAGTCTTATTGGGAAACTGTTGCTCAAAAAAACCGGCCTATTCAGACACTGGGAAGACTGCTAGCAAGTCTTCCTCTTGTTTAGTAAGGGATGTACAAGTTTTCTGGTTAAAATGGTAAAGAGGTGAAAGAGAAAATGAAGGTGAGGGTGTTATTTTTACTTTTGGATCTTCAGGAAATGATGCAACATCATAGTTTTAATGCACTCAAACAATACCATGACTGCACTGCTAATTCTGGCTCTTTAATTACTCCTGCACTTCCACCAGACTCCTCTGTCGAGCTTTCAGCTTTACAGGACTTTCATAATGTAGACCTACCTTAATTTTCCAGCCCAATTCCCTAAACTACCTCCTTCCTGCCCTCAGATTAGTCTTCAGTCATCTTCCTTCCCAGCTCTGAGTCCTATTCATCTGTCTTGCATCTATACCCTCTCCCTCTCTTCCTCCTCTGCCTCTGTATGCCAAGATCAGCTCCCTCTGGGGAAGCTCAGGTCAGGCCCCACTTCTTTCTGGAGGCTTTGATGCCCACTCCTGTCCTCTGATCTTCTTTCTTGGACTCTTGGTGCCCCTCGTAGCCATCTGTTTTCCTAGAGGCTCCCATTCAGCCTCCTTGAGAAGATGACTGTGCCTTCCAGCCTCTGGCTCACTCAGTCTGGTTTGGTTTTTGTTTTAGAACCCACTTGAACTTCATTTAATCCTGGGACATTCTCATGCTTTCCCTCCTCCTCACTCAAGACTTGAAACCAGTTCTCTTTTGCTCAAGTTTTGGAAAGGCAACTTATGGTCCAGCCCCACCTGCTCCCATCCATGCTGGGCTCTGGAATGCCAGTCAAACCAAATTCGTAATGGCTCCCTCAAAATTATCCTTTTCTCTCTCAGGAAAGGACAACTCATTTTTCCAGTTGCTCAGATCAAAACCTGAGTTGTTATCGACTCCATTCTTTCATCTCCTTCATGCAACCCATTAACAAATCCTATTGTCAATTCCTTAAAAATGTAACCAGGACCACCCCTCAGCATCTCCATTGCTTCCCCTCTGTCTGTGCCAACCTTATGTCTCCTGGGACTATTGCCAGAGCTGCAAACTCACCTCCCTGCTTCCACCTTGATATGCATATCCCCACCCACATGGCAGCTGGAGTGCTCCTTCAAAAATGCGCATCAAACCCTGGCTGGGTGGCTCTGTTGGTTGGAACATCAACCCATGCACCAAAAAGTTGTGGATTCAATCCCCACTCAGGGTGTGTATGGCAGGCAACCAATTGACGTTTCCTTCTCACATCAATGTTTTTTTCTTTTTCTCTCTCCTGTACTCCCTCCCTCTCTTACTCTCTCCCTAGAAGCAATGAGGATTAAAACAAACAAACAAAAATGTACTTCATATTGTAGCAATCTTCTGCTCAGATTTTTTCAAGGGCTTCCCATTTCACTGAGTACAATCCAGAGTTCTCACTGTGCTTCCCTCTCTGACTTGTCCCCAAGCTCACTCTTCATCCCTCACTCTGCTTCAGCCACTGTCCTCCTTGCTGATCCTTACATGTGTCAAACATGCTTCTGCCTCAAGAGTATTGCACATACCTTTTTTTCCCTACTATACACTTCCCCCAGATATCCACATGACTTACCTTTTGCTTCCTTCAAATCTCCAGGCAGATGTCCCCTACACAGAGACATCAGCCCTGACCACTTATATAAAATAGCACCTACCTCCTCCCCACTCATCCTTATCTGTCTCTTGTCCAGCCTTACTTTCCTTCATAGCATGTATTCCCACTGGATATGACGTGTGTGTGTATGTGTTTTGTCTTATCTCCCCCCACTGGAATATTAGCTCCTTCTGGCAAAGACTTTGTCTTATTCATGGTTGAATCTCCAGTGCCCAGAACACTGACCTGGAATATGGTAGCTATTCAAAAATGTTAAATGAGTGTATGAATATCACAGTCTCCACCATGGATTACCCACTACCTGACCTCCAACCTCAATGCTTGCTTGTTTGCCTGTGATAAAGAACACCATTGTTCAAGGATCTGAAAATTCATACCTACCAGGGGCAGACTAATACCAAAAGGTGCATGTCATCTGCATATTTGAAGAGTATCACATTTGCTCTGCCTCCACCAGCAAACTGTCTGGGTGTAGCTGTTGACTTTGCACAGAGCAGCTCTGGCTTCCACCCTTGAGAACCCCTTGGACCTGCTGTAAGCATCAATAGCACAGTGCTGTTCAGAGCTGGAACCACCAGCTGTTCATGAACAGCTTCCAGAAGATCCACTGGGTCAAGGTAAAGACCAGACAGGGATTGTGACCAGCACCAGGGAGATCATCCAAGTGCACAACACTTTCTGACTCCTTTTCCAGATCACATACTAACCACTCTACTTCTGGGAGTCCTCCTATGTGGCACCATCATTAACTAATTGTCACCTGAACCCATTCCTCCCACCAGGCAAATCCTCTACTGCCCTCTGCTCTGGCTAAATCTCAGAGATGACGCACCACTCCATGTTCTAGAGCTCACCTCTGACACTCACAAGCTGTCATGTTAGGAAAATTGCTTACCCTCTCTGAGATTCAGTTTCCCCCTCCTTTAAATAAGACATACTCTCGTATAAAGCCTATGGACAGGGTAGTTGTGAGGATTAAAGCTTAGAACAGATAATGTACATAGAATTCTTAGTACTTTCTGATGTATGTGCTTAATAAATGATGCCAAAAAAAGAATGATAAGAAAATTACAAATTAAACCAACCTATAGATAAAAACTGTAATGGTAATCCATAGCTCAGAGGCAGATGGAGTAATAGTCAAGAGCATAGACTTATAGGTCCAGCACACCTGGAAGTGAGTTTACTAATTATAAGACCTTGGGCACTTCAACTTCTGAGTCCCAAAGTACTCATCTATAAAATGGCATCAATGTCTGCCTCATATGGTTACTGTGAGGAGGAAATGAGATAAATAATGGTATAAAGCTCTTATATCCATATATAGTGCATAGTACTTATGCAATAAATATTAACCATTTAGGTGTACTGAAACATCAATCATTTACTTACAAATGATACGTTTTAACAAATTCAAAGAAGTGCCTCAAATCTACTTGTTGAAGTCTCATTACTCTGGTTAAAGCTGTAAATGTAAAAGCAGAAGAAATTTATTCCTCTAAAGCTATTCTATAATCAAAACTGGTCTAATTTCCAACGAGTCTGGCAGAGAGAATTTTCCTCATTGAGATAAGAGACAACTAGAGATAAAGGAACTACTGGTTTACCTTTGTTTCCTTAATGTGGCATGCAAATTGAATTGTAAATTAGTCATAAACCTGAGGGAATGGAAACCACTGTGAACTGTAGATAATTATGTTATTAATCTGCTTTTTTAAAAAAAATCAAAACAAGAAGTCTTTAAATAGTTTCAGTATCACAGATAACATGCTCTAATTTTATTCAGAACAATGTTTTCTCTGTTCAAAGATGAAAAACACGGCCAAGCTGGAGAAGTGACAAACACATCAACTGAGCCATTTTATACAACATCAAATTCCGGAACTCATTCCAGTTCTCTTTTTTCTCATTTGAAGATATATTGAAAACCTTCTTTCTAAGTCATTAAAAAGTATACATATATACTTTTTAACATTTTTTATTTTTTTATTAGAGTATTTCTTGCATTATTTTTCAAGTGATTTCCACCAGGAGGAAAATAGTTTGGAAACATATAAAATGCAAATTTCTGCTCTTCTCTGCTGCTACAACCCTCACATTGGATCCCACTCTCTCCTTCAGGCAGCCACCATGGCTGCTGCCGATTTCAGGCTCAGAGCTACCTCTCCACCATCAAAGAGGAAGGGAGTCTAGGCCCTCAGCTCTGTTTCCAAGAATCCCACACCTGAACATCAGTACACTGAACTCTGAGTTTGCCCTGTCTGACTATATTCAACTTGAGGTTAATCTAATTATCCTGAAATCTATGGGAGAAAATGATGTAAATGCAGGAAACATTTCTATTATACATTGATTATTTCCAACCAAGGTGGGCCCTCTCACTGTCTCTCTGCATCTTCCACAAAATTACCTTCCTTTTGAGAGGTCTTCTTTTGACACAAATAGATTCGGTTATTTACACAGTTCCATCATTTGCTTTCTAGACTTTAACAATCTACCTCATTCCTTTTTAAGAGTATCTATTATTAAATAGTAGTTCTATTAGTTTCACCATTCTACTGATGGGATGGATGGCTTTTTTTTTTAACTAATCGCTTTTGTAAATGTTAAATGCAATGGCCACTTTTCCATCTTGATCCTACTAGCCTTTTATAGTCCCTGACACTCTTAATGACCTCTTTGCCTCTCACCCTCCAGGCACCTACCAGCCTTCCTGCTCTTTCCTGCTTTGCTCTCCGTTCTTGGTGTCTCTATCTCTCCTGGACACCCTGCCTCTTACATTTGGGACTTTCCAGGTTTCTACCTGTAATGGTAGTTTTTAATTTTTTTACATTTTCATTGGGTATCCCTATCCAGTCCCAAGAATCAGATATTTTTCTACTTGGTGATGATTTCCAAATATACTCACTCACTCTCCTAAAGTCCAGATAGGAACTTCAAATTGCCTACAATGCATCTTGACCTATAGGCCCTAGGGTCACTACAGACTTCATCTGTCCAGAAAGGAACTTATTTTTCCTTTTACATTTTCATCCCCCTTGGCCCAACCCCAAGTCCAGGCCAGAACATTCTCTCCATGGCAACTGGAGTGACTTTTAAAAAATATTATTTATTTTTTAATTGAATTTATTGGGGTGATATTGGTTAATAAAATTATATGTTTCAGGTGTACCTTTTTATAATACATCATCTGCATGTTGTGTAGTGTGTTCATCATCCCAAGTCAAATCTGCTTCCATGGAATGACATTTTAAAAGCATAAACTGGGTATAATAATTTCTTCTCAGGATGTAATGATTTCTTAGCACTTGGTATCTGCTGTCTTGAGTACTCTGCTTCAGAGCTTTCCCATGGCTACATCCTGCTTACTTCTCAGAAGGTGGCTCAAATGTCATGGAAAAGAGGCCATCTTGGCCGCCTGAGCAAAAGCAGTGCTCCCCAGCTCTCCTTCCATCACTATCTCTTTGTTCTCCTCTTCCCTTCTTATTGCACATATTACTATCTGACATTATCCCTTTATTTATTTGCTTTCATGCTGCCTGCCTATGTCCTTTCTCTAGAATGTAAACTCCATGAAGACTGGGCTTTGTCCTGTTCCCTGCTGTATCCCTAGAGCCTAAAACACTGCCCGGAGTCCTGCAGACCAGTCAATGTGTCTGTGTGGAATGAATACATAAATGAACTTCAATTCCTTTAAGAACAAAGGCCCGGCTGTTAAATTAAGAACTAAGCAAGACATTTTAACCTGAAGAGTTCTGTTTTAGCGTGAGGTGCTTCCTTTCCCAACCCACCTACTCATGCAGTATACTCATAATCACAGATTATCTGGGTGATCTCTGAAAAAATATTTTAATTTGTAATTTAATTAAATATTAATTATTTTAATTTGTAAATATTTTAATGTAGTAAATTGCCCCTCCACCATGCCACCCTCACCACTGTTTTACATGAAACCCGACACAGTAACAACCATCACCTTCTACAGAAATCATTTTCACTGGAGCCACCAGTGGACGCCTGTGGCCACAGAGCAAGACCTGATTTGATTCCAGGACATTCAAAGAAGGGTGCCCTCTGGTCGACTCCTGGAAAAATGATCAGGGATACTGACGCTCTGGTCTGAGAACCATCTTCCCACATCCTCCCCTCGGGTCACACTACAACATATTTTACATATATCCTCTCCAGATACTCAACGGACCTCTGGAGCTGTGTCCCTTTTGCAGAAGAGGAAACTGACACTCAGAGGCACTAGCTTGTCTGGAGCTTGGGCGGAGCCCCCATAGACAGGGTCCCAGCGCAGTTTCAAAGCTCAAACACCATCTGCTTGAGCTACTTTATTTCCTAGCTGTCCTCGAGAATCCTCAGTATTTTTTGGAAAACGAAATGAGAGGCCCATACCGGAGAGCTCAGTAGGAAGCACAAAGGGAAGGAAAGGCCCCCAAAGGTCGCCAGTTGAGGTCTTCACAGACCCAACCCTCTCCCACGGGTGACTCTTGGAGGCTGGCAGGAGTGGGGACCAGCATGACACAGGCTTAACGCTGGAGGAGTGGATTCCGGGACCCGAATGGGGTGATAGAGGGAGGACACTGAGAACATCAGGTGAAGGGATGTTAAGTGTTTGTTAGACTGAGCGCGGGGAGTGGGAAGAGGGAAGGGGGAGGTCGGGGTTTGAGGATGGAAGCGATCCCCGCCTGCAGGGAAGAACAAAGCAGTGGCCCGCCCTCACCCGAAAGCACTTCAGGCACCGAATCTAAGAGGAGTGTGCCAAGAAGGGAGGGGAGGGGAGGGCGAGGAGAGCGCACGACTCAGCCCCGAAATCAATGGGGATTTACCACTACGCCTCGCCCGTGGTCTGGCGCTTCCTCACTGCTCCCGGCCATGTTTCTCCCAGGAAAAGCGGGAAGGAAAGACAGGAGCAGGAAGAATCTTGAAACGGGGTGGGGTGGGGGATGGGGCTGGGGCTGGGGCAGGGGCTGAAGCCGCCCCGCCCCACCTCTGGCCGCAGGCTGAGAGGGGCGCGCGCCACGGACCCGCCGCCTGGCCGGGCTCCAGTGCCTGTGCCGCGGCGCCCACTCCCCGATCTCCTTTCCCGCGGTTGTCTGGGCTGGGCTGCTGGGTCCGGAATGCTGGCTTGGAGCGCGGGGAGCTGCGGCAGAACAGTTCCCGCTCCACCAGATCGCAGGCCCGGGACGCGTTCCTCGCCGGGGTAACGAGGCTGCCCGAGGCTCGATTTCTGCAGGAAGAGAAAGTGTCCCCTGGTCCCTGCCTCCCTGAACTGTCGTCCCAGCTTCAGGCTAACAATGTCCTTGCTAAATTTTACGGGCTCTTTATCTCAAGTAAATCCACGAAGGAGCCTGCGGTCTAGAAAGTAGGGCTGTGCACGATGTGTTTTCACATCCTCAAACCGTCATGCCGGGAGTTTGAAAGAGCCAGGAGCTGGCTTTTACCTTGGACGCTTAAGAATCCCGGCTTGGAAACAGCGCCTTTCCTTAACAGCACCCGGTGGGGGGAGGGGGGGAAAGAAAGGGAGAGATTTCTACGAAGTATCTGTTTTACCACTTTCTGTAAGAATATATGGTTAGATTTTGATTCTTTCAGGTTGCAGTTTTAGCAATCACTCTCCTCAGATTAGAAACCCTTTTATGAATCTTGTTAATTCAACCCTAATCCCAGCTTTCCCCGAACCGAATGTCCCACGTCTTTGTCCTCTCCTCAAGGGTCCTGCTTTCCTACTTTATATATGCATTCAATTCTCTAGTCTCTGTTATCCTGCCGCATCGTTTACGGCCCTGCTAATGGTTTGAAGCCCTGAGCCGAATGAGGCCTCTGACTCAGGTGTCTCTAAAAGGCGATTTTTTCATGTTTGGGTTCTGGCACAGGGCAAGGAAAGGAATGCTGATTTTGCCTGGTTTTAGCGCAAATTGTTATCAATCAGTTAATGTCTCTCTAGGTTGGAAAAATATCATGTCCTTCAGATTTGGTCCCTGGCAGTGCTCAGCACACCGTTTGGACTTAGTCCCCCCTAAATGCCAGGCAGTGGAAGGAGACTGCTCCGTGCATTGCTCAGATTTGGCACCAGGAGAGTCCACCGGATCCCATAAAACTGGGTGATATTCCTTCCTAGCTCACAAGTAAACATTTTCTCTAAGAATTGTCAGAAATTCTTGTTTGGGGTCATTTATGTAGTCTTAGTCCCACTTCTCTTTCCAAATGTAAAGGACCATCTTTTATTTTCATTACCAAAGATGAAGCCCAGGATCCATTTTTACAACCAATGTCAATGAAACTTTCAGGAGTGAAAAGTGCTGTCACTGTGCTGATGATGAAATTTTAGGGTTGCTAAGACTCTCTTAGGGAGCTGGCCACCACCTTACCAGGCACCTGCAGGCTTTAGTGGAGAAGCTGCTAGTGTGGTTCAGGAATCTGAACTGCTAAGACACCCAGGTGAGTGTGACTCAGGTATCCCACTTTACCATCTTATTTCCATCTTATTCCCAGAAAATCAGACTCACCCATAAGAGGCTGGTGTGGGTGACTGGGCCAGATTACCGGTATGAGACTTCAAAATAAGTTACAAATGTAGCTGCTATTGCAGGTCAAATAGCAACAACTGTGTGCCCCGTCCAGGCACCGTGGAAGATATAAGGGAAATAGTAAATCTTCAGTCCTTAGAAAGGTCATTAATTTAAATGTGAAACCTAATAGGTTCACATGGAAAAATACATAACTGCTTGGATGGCAACAGGGATCTTATGATGAGCAAACTGTTTTTTAAAATTAAATTCATTTTATTATTATCTTTTTATATGTTGATAACATTTGTGATTTAATTACACTTCTATACTTTGGACAGCATTACTGTAATAAGACATAATAATATCACAAATAATATTTGCAAGGGCCAATATCCAAGAATAACAACTCATCTGTTTAGGTTTTATTCTTAATTTTGCATTATGAGGTCTTAGACGAAAAATTATTTTTAGATCTCAAATTTCTGTTAGGTGTCTAGTGAAATAGCTTTGGACTAGGATTCCAATTTTTTCTAGTAACAATCCATATGACCTTAGCCAATGAGGCTAAGCCAATTGCATCAGTACAATACACCTCAATTTTCTCATCTGTAAGAGGGGGCAGTACATTTCTGCTCTACTGCATGTGATGTTGAGATAACAAGCAAGAGAATCCTTTCAAAAATGCTCTAAAACTAACTGTAAGATGTTATTAATTTGAGGTGCTGCGAAAATGTATGACCAAATGTTTGTAAAGTCTCTCCGTGTGAAAATGGCAGGGTAATTGTTTTTTCAAAATGGGTGCAGGGTGACCAATCAGGGACAGTTATAATCTGGGCTAGTATGAGAATGAATTCAGTAAAATGAGAAAGTTACTGAAATGATAGAATTTTTCCATAAAGATAGGTATTTTAGCTCAGCAATTTTCTGATATTCCTTTGAAGAAACTGTAAGAGTAAACTCATACATTTTTACAAAGTTAATAACCAGTAAATATACTCAAATTTTTTTCCCCTGTCATTCCCTTTATCCCCTTTTAGCTGTAGGTTCCCAGAATTTTAAATTCTGAAATTGTCTTGTGCCACTACCATGGTGAAAACACAAATATTTATATTTACACGATTATCCACTAGGCTGAAGACTTTTGTCCTGGAGGTATATACTAATCTTTTGACAGTCTGGTAATTCTTTGACTTCAGCAAATATTGAAGGCACAATTCAATTTATGCACTGAGTTGCTCAAAGCCAGTCTCCCAGTGACACTAGACTCAAAATACAAAAGGGCATTTCATTCTTTGAGTCCGAAAACATGAAAATAAATTTTTAAAAAACTCTCAGCCTGAAAACTGTGTTGAAATACATAAACATATGAAACTTAGTGACTCAGATGGTTAGTCACAGAGTCACTGGTTGGGCTGGATGAAATCCACTGTGGACAAAGGCCAGCCGTAATGATGATGATATTTTGCTTTTCCTTAGTACTGAACAAACCCTTTACAAATGTTACAAATACAAAAGAAAAAGTTGTGAGGTACTTTCTTCCAAATGTTCAGGATAAGTAAGAATCTTGCTACCTTTGAGGTATTTTTTTTCCCTCTACATAGATACAGAAGAAATCTAGTTGCAAATAACTGTAACACAAAGCAACTTAAGCAAAAGCCTCATTAGTATTCAATTAGCATAGTAAGCCCTCTTTCCCAGCCTCTTGTGTGAAGCAGATTGAATCCAATGTGTAGTTTTAGAGTAAAGAAAGTAATGGCTCCATAGTAGTTCTTACACATAAAGCCAGGAACTAAACTCAGAATTATATTTTGTATTATTACACTTTCATTAGTAATCAATCTTCCACTGCAGAGTAGATTTAATCCAAAAGATTGCAATAATGTCAGGCAAGAGTAATACCATCCACAGTTAAGTACTGGGCTGCTTCAGAAATATTCTCCCACAATCTTCCCCCATCTGACCGGAACAGGAATTGGGTAACTTCAGAGCAAAAGAATAATGTGTCCATGTGTTCCTCCAGATCTCAGAGTCCTGGCAGCCAACCTCAACTCTCTTGGCCACCATAAAGCAGTCATTGAAAGGACACAGCTGCAGGAACTAGCCACTAAGCACTAAATAAATCCACAGGGCTGGAGGCACAAGTCATGTACATGACCCTAACACAATACCTTGCGGTTATGAATGAGTGGATTAGCATCTAATGGTGCTGTGGCAGCTTATGCAAAATTAATTGGTGCTTCATCCAGTGCTGAGTTTCTAATGGAAAGATGTCCACTTAAAAAAAAAACCCACAAAAAAAACAAAACCCAAGGGACCTCCTTAGTCAACAAAGACCTTGGCTGGGTTGTGGGGGGAATAAGGACCAACTGGAATGGGAACTGAGCTGTTTGTTCTTGTGACTGTACCTAGATTCTCTTCAGATCAAAGCTGATATACAACATCCACTGGCAATAACCCAGGAATTGATCGAGTTATTGCCAGGCCCTCGGTTGTATTTTAGGGTTGAGGTTGGGGCAGTTGGGAGAGATGTTGGGGAAATGTGGCTTGAAGTCTGGAGCTGTCTCACATGGAGAAAGAGACTGAGAAGAAAAAAGAGACTCAACACTAATCTACCTGGAGCAATACTTCCCAAAGTGTGTGTTTTTTAGAGATTTTATTTATTTATTTTTAGAGAGGGAAGGGAGGGAGATAGAGAGAGAGAGAGAGAAACATCAATGTGCGGTTGCTGGGGGCCATGGCCTGCAACCCAGGCATGTGCCCTGACTGGGAATCGAACCTGCGATGCTTTGGTTCGCAGCCCGCGGTCAATCCACTGAGCTACTCCAGCCAGGGTTCCAAAGTATGTTTTGATTCACTTTCTTTATATTTGAAAAAGATGATGTTGTGTGATTTGTTAAGTTTGAGAAATGATGAAATAAATGAAGTTAAACACACATCTATGTTTGTAGGACTTCTGGAAGCCAATGCCAGTGTGCACTGCCAGTATTCAAGAAGACTGGCAGAGTACAGTGTTTCCCAAACATTTTTGATCATAGAAACCATTTTAGGAGGAGTTTATAAAGATTTTTAAAAATTACATTATTATGAAATATTTAAATTTATGCCTTAGTGTTATCTTAAAGTAGGAGATTTTAATGGTCTTAAAATATACTTGAGAGGACTAAATATTTTAAATATAACATTATTTTCAAAGTGTGAATTACTATTTTTTTCCTTTTCAAAAATATGCAGTAAGAATTTAATGGACATGGCTAAGGTCTTTTTCTACCTCTGAAAGGCCCTGGCTTTGCAATTTGTGCCATTCTTCAAGTTGACAGGAAACTTAGAAGACAAGGAACTTACTCTCACCCACCTCCATTTGTACTTTTTCCTTTTCCTCCAGGTATGA